AGCTTAATGCCTAAATATGTGCGAGTATTATCCTTTTGACGCCAAAAACTACAAATAATTCTAAATACATAGTAACCCACTTAGAAGACATAAATGCATAAAGACCCTCTCACACATACCATTTTTGCTTGAAAAAGCGCTCTGAATTGAGGAAAAAGTCCTTTGAAAGGAAAAATGAATTAATACAAAGATGTTTGCCATTCGCATAAAGAAAAAATTAAAGCAAAGATTAAATTTCTTGTAAACATGTCACGTTTTTTTTTTGGCAAACTTACTCTTTATAATTCCAATTTGCCGTTGTGGCAATATTCGACCCTTACCAAATTTGCATATGAGCAAATGGTAAGCCATTGCCATAACTAAAGCGAATAAATATTTAAAAACGATGCCAATATGACTCGATTGAAAGAGTCAAAAGTGTACCAAAAACAATTTCCGCAACTCCCCATAGTTGGAACGGAAATAACCAATACACACTTAGCAGCTGATATTAACGATTCAATAAACAAAGCACCAGCAGGTTTGGGTATGGCTAAGTAACAGATAGATTTGGGAAGGAAGGACCAACGCATAAGATATGGCACTGAAGGACACGAAACGTCGCTTAGTCCTTTCAAAGCAACGACTTTCATTTTTCATTTCAAAATCTAATACAAATAGTTGCCTGAATGGCAATTGTGTAGAGTACATTTATGGTCTAAATGGTTTCCTTTTATAAGTAGTTATTATAGATATATGTTTGAGATTAAAAGCATTCAAATGAGTGTTTGTGTGTGTGAGTGTGTGTGTGTGTAAGTCAAATACACACATATCATATTGTGTTTAAGTAGTTAAGCATACAAACTAAGCGCTGATATCCTAGCAGTAGAGCTGTTTCCCTTGCCAAATGAGTGAAAATATTATTCAATGGTTTGACATTTGTACCAATTTGTTACTCTCGTCCTCTCCGTTATGAATGTGTGAGTGATTGTGGGTTTTTAAGTTGGCAAAATGACGACAATATGGCGCCACAACCAATTTAGCGAATAAAAGATATATGTTTGTTTGGGAATTTTTTTTTTCGTTTGAATTTGAGTGCTTAGAAATCCGATATACAACACACATACATACAAAATCAATATCAGAAAATTAGTTTAGTCAATATATACGAATACAACTACTGGAATGTAGCAAAATAGCTGCAACAACGAAATAACTTCAAACAGTTGGAAGAAACGAGCTGTGATAGTAGGATGCTATGGAAAGCAAGTTGCCTTTAGTATTGAAAAACGTAGGCAGTGTACATAAATTTGCACGTTTCTTTGTTGCTATAACAGATAATTTGCTAAGCTGTTGGTGCTGTCTAGTTAGTTGATTCGCTCAACGAAAGCAAGGTAAACAAACGAAAATTTAAGCACGCACACACATTCGTACTAAAATTTTGAAATAATTTGATCGATTTCCCAAAGGGTTTGGAAAATGTGGAAATAATTGGAATTGCGAAAATATGGCCGTGTAGGGTTTTGCAATTTTACAGTACCAATTGGTTTGAGCCGGCGAGATAAAGCGATAAAATATATATTAAAATTATTAGAAAATATTTACTTAGAATTTTCTTTTGATAACGAAAACTGTAGTGCTAGTAGTTTACGAAGGCTGTGAGGTCAACAAATCGCAATTTATTTGATGTGTTTACAATGGCTTGTGCTTAGCTGCCCCACAAAGCTGTCGTCCCTCATTTAATTTGGGCTTACATGTCACTTAAAACGTGAGCGTGCACAAGGTTTGGGTAAATATTATTCTTTCATTTGCGTTTTATTCTTTCGGATTTTCTTTGCTTGACATGAAAAACCAAAATAAATTGATGAGTTTGGATACAAAATAAATTTATCAATGTTTGATAAACTCAAAATTGATTGATACATAAGTATATAAAGACACATAATAGCAGGCGTATGTGAGGGAACACGCGAGCAATTTTCTATGTATCTAAGTTGTCATATATTTAGAGATTCGGAACACTTTGACGTGCCTATATTTAGAAGTAACTTACTATCATCTTCAAATTACACGCATGCTTATTGATTAATATCTAACAAATAATATTAGTTTGAAGCTAAAGATTAATGACAACTTGAGACTAAAGGTTACTTACTCTACCTAAAGGATACTACAGCGTAGCTTTGAGTTAGCTTGAGCATGGATTTTTTTTAGCACATGCATTAGGATGGTCATTAACAACAATTTTTTTTTTTAAGGAAAGTTTTGCTCAAGAAATGTGGAATTTTCCATATATATTTTAGACCGAAAGAAAAAATTGTTTTTTTGCAGCTGCTGTTTGAAATCAGTCGACCTCAGTTCCCTCCGTAGATGTTCTTCTATTACGACCTAAACGGAGTCGAAACGGGTTCTGTCATTCCATAGAGCCTTGGTAATAAAAAACAAAAGTCGCATGGGGCCAAGTCCGGTGAATAAGATGAATAATTTCAGCTGGGTGCGATGGCGTGTTATCCTCATTTACGGCGAATGTTTTCGAAAAACGCTTCAAAACTCTCAATTAATACTCTATATTGACTATCTGCCCCATTGGAATGGATTCATGATGAATCAAACCAATTTCCGGGAATTTTTCACTCTTAATTTAGTGTGCGAGAATTCTAGTTTAGTATCACTGTTTCGAAAATTAAAATTTTAAATGTTTTCCCTGTTCCATATTAGGTTCTTTGTGCGAGCTTTACTGTATGAAAACTATATTTTTTTTATTTGAGTAAAAATTTTTAACCAACCCGCCATTCGTATATGCTTTAAATCTTTTTTATGCAACGGCTGAGTTTCATTTCCTAAACAAGCGATGAGTCCAAGGTATCGTTGTTCTGCATATTGCAAAAATTATTAGTATATGGAAGTGTGAAGTTCACAGTTCGAGTCTAGCTACAGGAAAACTAATTCTTATTTTTATTTCTGTTTTTATTTTAATTATAATTTATTTTTTTATTTTATTTTGATTCTTATTTTTGGTGTAGTAGACATTTAACAGGCCTAAACTAAACCTAAATATTCAACTATTCTGCCGTATAGTTTTGGGTACTTTTAGAAACTAACTAACACACCAACTTGTTTATATATTTATCCTTACGTATGTACAAATTATTCTGTTTCGGAGGAGGATAAATTATTTAAAACCTTTATTCATTACATTAAGCTTACTTTTTTTAATTTGTGGGAGGAATCGCAAAAGAGAAATGGATCCTGATTTTTTTTTTTTTTTTTTGATTTTTATCAATTTTTGCAATGCAAGCCGATAAAAAAATTCATAACATCAAAAATAAATTTTTCTTTGCACAGAATATATGGGAAAGATCTATAATCCTTACCTTATGAAAATAAATTTATCCACTACACCTGAATATCAGTATTGCGCTTACTCGGTAAAAAGTGAGATTTATTAACAACACTACCTGGACAGATATTTGATGGCAAATGTTTTTTGACCATTGTTGTGTATCATTAAAATGTTAAAGCCGTTTTTTAAATACCTAAAATTTATATATATAATGTTTTTTTTTCTTGTTTGTGCTAAGAATCATGAACCATGTTAAGTAAATCTCAAACAAAGAGCTCTTTGAATATTATTTATTATTTATTTAAAAAAGTCCTTTTTTTTGGAAATTGAATGGATGTTTTTTGAAAGAAAAACAGAATAGATTGTTTAAAAGGCGAGCTAAAAAGTTTTATCAAATCCTCAGTTCACTAGTTTGGCTTAATTATATTCTCTATTGAACATATTGTTGAATTGTATGATGTTGATCAGTTTGTTCCATAAAAATTGTTCGACGCTCTCAGCCTACTGTAGGTTTCCAATGTGATTTTTAAATCGATAGAAATATTAAACATATAAATCACACAAATTTAGGCGCCTGGTTACTGAAATTGTAACTGAATACTAACGAAGGCTTTACCTTGACAACAATAGCTGCTTTAGAGCATTTCTTTCTGGTAATTTTTTTAATTGTTTAAAAAAAATATCAAGACTCACCGGCCGAAAATCGTTTCAAACGCCCCAAATATGGTATAGGATACGCCTTGCTTCGGTTGATTATCAACGTATTCTAATAATTATAGGTAAAGAAAAACTAATCGTCTCAGTCTCTTAGCATTCTCTATATTCCGAATCAAGCAGCTGGTTCTTTTCTTTTAAAACCACATTAAAGCAAAGGTGCTAAAGGCATACTAGAACAGGTCAATACACAAGCATAAACCGCATTTCAGTGTGACCGAATTTATGGCCAAAAGTACAATATATTAACAGCAACAATAAATATACACTAAGGGACATATAAATGCCCGTTCGGTAAGAGGAATTTTGTATATAGAAACTCCCATTTAGTCGAGTAAAATGTTCTTCTTTTAGTTTTAATTTTTATTTATTTTTTCTTTTACTTATTTGCATTGCCAGCTGACTTTTACATTAGAAAATTAAGACCCTTACAAGATCATTAAGCTTCCGTTTAACTGTGAAACTCAGCACTTTTTATATTTAAGATTTGTGCTCTGATTTTTGGAGGTATTAAAGTGATTTTGATCGGTTCAATTAGTAGACAGCAAAAGAGGTTGTTTTTAGAATGTTTTTTAAGAAATCTTCACCTTTTCAATTAATTCCTGAGATAATGCCGAATACGATAGGAAAAAAGGATGATTAATTTTTAAGTTATAATGACAGCGAATTTCGAGAGAAACTAGGTTGAAAAATTTGAAATTTACACTTTTAGCCATACACTACAGTTCTGACTAGACTATGTAACTCTAGAACACATCTGGGGTCGAAGTATATTTTCTCGAAGGGGTATAAACAACCGAAGAATGTAAAAACATCAATTTTTTTAGTGACACTATGGTTGAGCCTCTGGAGAGTACAATTAAAATATTTGTTTTTATTTGTGCAAATGAGTGGGTACTTTAAAACTGTATAGTTCCCGGTTTCTTGCCAATTTTATTATAAAAAATTTTTTTTTTGCTTTCAGGTATCGTGGATACGCAAAAAGGACTACCATTTGCTGACTGTGGGATTGACTACCTACAGCAGTGATGAGCGATTTAGTGCCACGCACTTGAAACACTCGGAGGTAATATGCCTTATACATACTAATAACTTTCTTAGTTGGCATTAGGTGTAGGTCGCATAAACGTGTGCTACTTGTTGTTGTTACCTGACATATTCACAAACTCGAGTTAAATTTTGTAATTTTATGCAGGAATAGTTTACTCCTTAAATCCGTATTAATGAAAAGTTTTGTATTTGAATTTGATTCTTATTAAAAATTTATATTTTTTTTATTAAAAAAGAAAACATTTAATATAAAAGTGATGATAATGAGTAACTAAAATCCTATAGAGTTTTAGGATATTTAAATGTGCTTTTGAAATACACACTATTGCACAGCTTATCCTATATATATTTAAATTATTTTTACTGTTTAAATTTGGTTTACATTTTTTTTAAAGCAATTAGCGCTTTTAAAAATCCACTTTTTATCGGAAAGCAAATTTTAAATTTAAAATTTAAATAAAAATTCGAAAACTTAAGCTACAATTAAAATCGATGCTAAGAAATCTTTTTTAACAAAAAAAATATTTTTTTTTTTTAATTTATATGTAAAAATGTTAATAACAGTAATAAGATAAAAACCAGAATTTTATATTTATTTCCATGAAAAAAAAAATAATAATAATATTATAAAAGCTTATAGTCAACCACCAAACATTATTACATACCCTTTTCCGTAAATCATTTTCAGTTAAGTGCGCAAATACAAAAGCTTTTTTCAAAAAAAAAAAAAAAACTAAAATAAAATAAATAAATATCTATTTTAAAACTTTATAAATATTAAACGTCAGAATCAAAACGTGCAGTGCATTAATAAATTCAATATAGAACATAAGCACACTCTCGCACACACATACACTTCATGCCTACTTGTATACCTACCTACCTACCATCCTAAGTGTGTGCCACTCCAATCGCAACGGATATAGTAGGCATACGTGCAACACTTGCCACATGCATGAATTCGTGAGTGATGTGCAATTGCATCCTGCATGCAATGAATGTTACATTGCATATGTGGTCAGCAGCGTTGGCCGCAGCGCTGAAACGTGACTGGCATAAAGTGAGAGCGGCGAAGTTTCGAGAGAACAAAAAATACGGCAAAAACACCAAAACGGCATCAGCAATCAGGCGATAAGCCGCATAAACTCACACACGCACAGACACACACACACATAAATACTTGCCAATATATATAAGTATGTACTTGACAGCAGCGCCAATTCGCAAGTGCGACAATTCACAGCGCATTGACACTTTGTTGCGGAAATGCCAGCTAAATCCACACATAACAGTGAAAGAGAAAAATGTCGAAAACTTTGAAGTGAATAAAATTGTAGCGAAAAACATATCGAATTTATACAGAAAAATCGTTGCAATTTAAAAACGAAAAGAAAAATTTACTTTTAAAATATACTTTTTAAGTACGTCATTGGTTGCAAAAATCAATTTTTGTTTTGATTTTATTTTCTGTAATTTTTTTTTCAAATTTTCCTCGATTTGCTCTGCTGTGTGCTGAAAGTAAAGTGCATTAGTTTGTTCGCAACTTGCAGCAAGCGTTCGACCAAAAATCTACTGCCATTGATTGCCTGACATTTATCTGCGAATTCCTATACTACTTTATATAACCCTATTTCTAATTTGATTTTTTTTTCTCATATTTCCGCCTTTTTCAATTCTCCGCCTCATTTCATGTGCGCGCTCTGACCGAATTGGGACTTTGGGCACTTTTCATCCACTTGCGCTTTTTGCTTCACTACTACTGCGCACTGCTAACGTACTACAATTGTTCAAATCAATCGTGATGTGGCATGCCACAGGATTGGACGCTGCAAATAAAATTCGTACAACTACGTGATGCTGGCGTCTATGAATGTCAAGTGTCAACCCATCCGCCCACATCAATATTTCTGCATTTGAATGTTGTCGGTAAGTAGCGTTGTTCTATAAAATATGCACATGCATACCATATTTACAAAAACAAAAAAAAACTAAATAAAAATGGTATATAAATTCGAAGCATATAGTGCCTGCGTCCATGTAGGTATGTGTGGACAAATTGATTGCATTGAATTTAGCTGATTGTCTGCTTCGTTGCTGCCACTTCTATGTATTCATTTTACTTTGTAGTGTTCAAGGAGTGCAGAAGTGTTGGGAAAGCTGAAAATAAAGTTCTTACCAGCATATTTTGTTTACTTACTCACACAGATACTCACACTTTTTTCTTTTGCTTAAATTTATGTAAATATTTTACGAAAAGAAATTGCATTGAAAGTGATGTGTCTGCAAGCATATCTATTTTAAGTAGCAAAAACAACAACACATCGAGAGGGAATTGCAGTGATGGCGCACATATTGAACATCTCCTCAATAAGCTGTGCCATATGCTTTAGTGTGAAATACATATGTATAAACAATAAGTATATACACATCCAATGAATATTTTGACTCATTTTGTAGTTGGACAAATATACGGCTTCTTAGACTTCATCTCCAATATGAGCTTCAGTAGAAGATGATAATTTATGTTGATACGAACATAGTTTTCAAATAAAAGTACGCAGTTTGATAGTTTTCTTTTAAATTAATTTAATTATTGCTATTTTTTCAAATCAAAATTGGCGGTAACAAAAAATTTGAAATAAATGAGCGCTGTTTTGACTGAACTTAAATTTATAACATACGTGTATATACATCTATATTTAAAAATGGGGTTTTTAACGGCTGAAAGAATTTTTGGTTTCGATTTTTACTAATGCAAAAAATATTCACATCGGCATTAAAACATAACAAAAATCATCCGGGGCGTATGATCAACATTTAATAGACCAAATATTATAATTTCAAGAAACGAACTTTATTTAAGCGTTCTCGTTTACACAACTGATTTAATAATTTTGTCTCATATTTTGGCATCTTATTTAACAATATTTTACAGTTAACATTCAGTCAAAAACTTTGAATTAAAATATAATAAAAAAATAATTATTTTATTTGATTATAAGAGCCTTTTTTTCGATAAAAATAATATTGGCTTTCAATTTTACTGATTTAAAAAATGAATAAAAGGTTTAATAATAGAAATGTATATAGGCAAATATAAAAATAAATTGTTTGTTCAAAACCAACCGAGCGCCGGTCCAACATTTTGTAGGATGATGCATTTCTTCCCTCAAAATAAGCCTCATATTCGATTGAAATTTTTCTTAAATCTGTAGAACGTAAGTAGCCGATGGAAGCCAAATCTGGTATACACGTTTAGATATTGAAACAATTTGATCATTCGAACTCATTTTTTTCTATAATATCAAATGATTTTATGGTTTTTTTCATACTTTCTACTGCTATTGCCTCAACGTTCAATGCATTTGATCATGTTTCAAGTCGGCAAACCAAACGAACTGCTTACAGGTACTAAATTTTTTTGTTTATAAAAACAAACCAGATCCAATTCCCAGAAAATGTTTTCCAATCGCTTGTAATCGTCACAGGCAAGTCTCTATGATCAGCGGTTTAAGCAATGAGTCTATCCGTTATTCATTGACCCATAAATAAATCGATTCGCTTAAAAAAGGAAACAATAATTAATTTTAAATTTGGAACATAATTTTTAAATTTTGAAAGTTTTAAATGTCCAAAATAACAATTAAATATTTTAATTCGAGTTATTAAACTCTGTTTATTTATACGTTTTAAATCTCAAAGAACAGAATAATCTTTCAAAAAAAGTGATAATTTATTACTTTTATCTTCCGATAATATTGTATATTACATAAGTACAGTTTTTCATTTCTTATTACGACATTTAATTCGAAGTTTTAATATAAAATGAAACACATTTTCTCATGTGCAGTTTAGATGCAGGAAATTATTTTATAAAGACATTAAGATAAAAATATCATTCAACAAAAAAAAAAAATACTTACTTACTTAAATTTGAAAGAAACAATTTAATACGAAATTAAATAGTTTCATTCACCAATTAATAGTTTTGATTTTGTTGTCGAAAAGCTACTAAATGTCTCAAGCAATGCTGTCATTAATATACGCAAATGTGGGTATAAATACATTTATAGTAAGGCGAACCATACTAACATACACTTTTTTTCATACAAACATACATACTACTAAGTCCTTAACAACTTCGTTTAGAGAGTAATCATACAAATATTACTTCAAATGCGAATAAATCTTTCTATGTATATATATTCGCATTTGAAGTAATATTTGTATATATATATATATATATATATATATATATCTCCCTTCCGCTTTTTTGTCTTTTAAATTTCGTGGCTATATACAAAGCGCTACAGAGCTCGTATCTGGCAACACTATACATAATTTGAAAGGTCTTGACATAACTTACAAAACAACAGCTATTTATGATTAGTTAGGATATTGCGTTCAACAGTTATGGACGTGTAAACATGGAGTTCACTAACGCCGAAATTCGCGCCGTGAGATTAATGGTGTTTTGGTCTATCACTTCGAACCGCGGAGGAATGGTTTCGACGATTCAGAGCCGGTGAAAACGACACCATGGATAAGCCAGCCGGCGGAAGACCTGTGACCACAAATATCGATCAAATCATGGAATACATCGAGTTAGACCGGCATATGGCATCTCGTGATATCGCCCAGGAGATGGGAGTTAGTCACCAAACCATTTTGAACCATCTGCAGAAGGCTGGATACAAAAAAAAGTTTGATGTTTGGGTGCCGCATAATTTGATGCAACAAAACCTTCTGAACCGAATCAACGCCTGCGATATGCTGTTGAAACGGAACGAACTCGACCCATTCTTGAAGCTGCTCCCATATGGCCAAACGCTTAATTCTACCATCTACTGCGAACAACTGGACCGCTTGAAGCAGGAGATCGACCAGAAGCGTCCAGAATTGGCAAGCAGGAAGGGTGTAGTGTTCCACCAGGACAACGCCAGACCATACACTTCGTTGATGACTCGTCAGAAGCTACGGGAGCTCGGATGGGAGGTTTTATCGCATCCACTATATAGCCCGGACGTAGCGCCAAGTGATTACCACCTGTTCCTGTACATGGCGAGTGCCCTTGGTGGTGTGATGTTGAACTCAAAAGAGGCTTGTGAAAAGTGGCTGTCCGAATTCTACGCAAATAAGGAGGGGGGCTTCTACAAGGAAGGAGTTATGAAGTTGCCGTCTAGATGAAAACAGATCATCAAACAAAACGGTGCATATTTTAACTAAATCCGACCACTGTAACAGTTTTTAGAAAGCATTGAATGAAGAGCCAAAAGGCGGAGGGGAGATATTTGACAACTTTATATGTTGAAGTAAATACTCTGAAAATAATCAAGTGGATCAGACTACTATTTTGGTAGTTATCTGTGAAGACCCAATACACACCCAAAGATTTACTATTCTGAAAGCACGTTTTCAATATTTCTGACTCTTTCGAGCATATGCTTAACTAATTCGTAAAAACATTCAGTACTTGATGCACAGAAAATCTTAGTTCAGAACGCAAGCGCTCACCCTTTATTTTAGGGTGAAAAACATATAATAAACGTGGTATTAAACTATATGCCCATTAACTTAACCCGCATTTCGGAAATCAGATAAAATCCCTCTCAGCTAAACAAATATGATTTATGTAATAGCATGTGTAAGCCCGCTGATACCCGAGAGGGTATTAGTGGTCTAAATTACTAAATAATACCGCGCAAAACAGTAGGGTAGCTATTGAACTTGATTGTTTGCATACAAACACGCTTTTGTGCCCACACAGTACGCATTCTCTGGAAAAAATTTCAAATAACATTACAAAAAGGGTACAAAAACACTTTAAAGAAGACCAGCAGCAATGATAGCAATAACAAATAATATTATTTTCAAATTGTAATACATTTTTGCTGAAAGTATCCATAAATATTTAGCATAACTATGCTAATGCACGCATGCACTGTGCACAATTTGCACTTGCACGCTACTTAACGGTATATTTTGCGCTTAATTGCGAATTATTTCAAAACAATAGCGGAGCGGAATACAATGGCATGCATTTTCCCATATCAGGTGTAGATATAATGCATTAAAATATAAATACACACGCCATTGTTTTTGCGCTTCATTAACGTAAATTTAATTTGTTGGTGCATAAAATGCTAATGCATATAGTATACCATACCATGTCGAACTGATTACATTTATATTTAGAGTCACTACGGCAGGTATAGGAATGGATGGTAGGTGTAAAAAGTCTAGCATGCTTATTTATGTTGCATACTTTGTGGCGTAATAGCATATTCATTACTTTTAACACGCTTACTTATATACAAACACATACACGTGTGCATATGTAGCCAACAACAATGCAGTTATTCATGCGTACATCCCTTTCCCGCCCCCTCCGGTATGTATGTAGTTTATTTGACAGTGAATTATATTTATGAGGCCACACTGCTTATTAGAATTATTGTACGCATTTATGTTTAGGCCATTAGTGCTTGCTAATGCAACCATGTGCAAAATAAAATGGTAATAACAATAAATTTTGAATTTGAATTTTAATACTTTACACACGTACATTTGCATGCGTAAAAGCATTTGGGAGAAAAAAAAAATAAAACTTTATTTTAATGAGCTGCCATATAATTTACACATTTACACACACAAGAGAAAAACACAAAAGTTTATTATAAATTTAAAAATGCATTTAAATGTCTATGAAGTACTGTATATTGAACTCACGCAGCACACGCTCCTAACCCTATCGGTCGGCTTAAATTCTCTCCTTCTCACTTATTACCTGCTGGGCTGTTGGTTCAGGGCCACAAATTATTTTTGCATCGCACACACAGATATATACATACAAATTCACTCGCATGCATATACTTCTATCTGTACGCTGCACTATAAATGTGCATATGTATATGTATCTATATATATGATATCATGTTAGTTTCCAACATGCGGGTGGCTTCACTTCAGCCCTTGTGCTGCATATTGCCATAGGACACTGACGCGTCCTTGAGCTCATTTTTCTAGTGCACTTAATGGCACACTGAATGCCATGCACGTATATATGTGCACATAAGTTAATGATTTAGTGATTAAATTTTGATTATTTTTAGATTTTTACAGTTGCAAATTACGTTTTTTTCTTTTGCTTGTCCAACAGCAAACAGATAAAAATTGTAAACAGAATAATAATAAAATAATATAAAAATTTACGAAGTAATAGCCAAATAACAGTATATGAATGTGATTACTAAAGTAGTGCATCGAATGGCCGAACAATCATCAGTGTGTAATACTAGTTGCAGGGCCAGAATTTGCGGTCTAGTGTAACCAAACATCTAAAATCATTGAATGTTAAATTTCCCAATTGCGGTCTACCCTTGGTAGAGAGTTTCAAGCTCTCCGCGTGTATTTCTGATGCGAAATAAAAACTTTTTACCAAAATTTATCGATCATTTGGCGGCGGATTAAAATAAACCGTCTAAAAAACACCGATACCCACAACACGCGCTGACAGAAAAGCTTGGACAAAAAATGCTACAGCGGTTACAATGCGCCAATATATAAATAATATATATTTACATATATATATAAGTAATATGACTGGAAAGGTATGATAATTTTCTGCCAGATTTTGAAGGCTTACTCAAACGTAAATAAGAAGTATTATATGACAACCTTGCATAACAAAAGGAAAAAATTAAAAAAGTTCACACTGTGTGTTAAAAATAATATATTCTTCTCAACTTCATTTGTATCAACGGACCACACTTTTATTTAAGAAAAAAGCGATTTTTCAGCACTTTTTTTGTAAGGGAAGGAAACTTTTACGCCAAACGAAATCCAGACAATAATGTGCTATATTTAAGCTTCAAAAAGAAAAGTTTTGTCACCTAAGAGTTTTGGAATTTTCCACAGTTGTGACGAATTTTCGAAAATGACTGTAGTCTGGACTCGTGAAATGATGCCGACGAAGGATGTCATGCGATGCATCTGAATCAGTCGTAACGTTTTTTTTTTTTTAATTTTTATGAGTGTAACTTCTATGTGAACTAAAAAATGCCGATGAAATACCTGTTTAATACTGAATCTACATTACTTTGATTTCCTTCAATCGGACATTTATTCCATTTGGCATCACCGGCACGGTCTTCTAAATTCTGTGCAAATGAAAACTCAAGAAAACGCGCTTCAAAGTTTTACCCGAGCATTCCAACCGCTTGACAATAAGCTACTAGAACTGCTCTAGCTTCTTAAATATCTCGAATTGGCTGCTGAAATTTTAAGCATAGAAATTCTAATCCGAAGGTAAAATACTAAAATTACTCGCCTTTTTCATTTATAGTTTAGCTTAGAAAGGATATATTGATATGCATTAACACAGCGTAGTTAAAAATTGGCTGCCACGATAGCCGAATGATTAGCATTGCATACTGACATTCGGTAGGCTCGGGTTCATATCCCGCTGCCACCAAACTTAATTTAAATAAAAAAATGGTTTTTTTACTAGGAGCCTTTTATTTCATGTCCGCGGAGGGGCGCACATACCCTGCCAAAGGGTGACCGTAATTATACAATTTAACTTAATTTTTCATTTATATTAATTTTATATTTTGTATGTTGGTCATACCACGGTTTGAACGCGGGCCTTCCAAATTGCAGTACGCATTGCTAACCACGCTGCTATCGACGCCACCGAGGATAATGTGTGGTGCGTCATAGAGCCGGATATTATTGTAACCCTTTGAAACTTTAATTATTGTTCAAACGTGGAGAGGATTTCAGCATTGTCACTATTTTTCTATAACGTAGAATTAACAGAAAAGATCATAATGATCTTTAATGGAAGGTATCATTAAATACTTAAATTCAGTAGCAATTTTGATCAGGATGACATTTAGATTCACGTATCGTAGAAGGAAAAATTAGATCGAAGAAAAATTTGTTGCTCTAATCTGGCAACTTTAACCATAGTTTTAAGGATCTGCAGTATGACCTGAAAATAACTGAATAACTGAAAATGCGGTCATTTTTAACATATTTTTATATACAGTAGTAAAAAAACCATATTAAAAAATCCGGTTGAAAATGTGAAAAAATTTATGAATTATTTTTTTTTTTTTTTGAATATTTTTTCCAAACTATAAAATTTAATGCGTAAAATATAAATGTCATTGGAAATATTATGTTTAATAGTTCTTTGCTTGCATTTGGTGGTCATTATTATGCACTCAATTAGGTCAATACAAATGTTTATTTTTTGGTTTGAATTTTTTTCTTTTCGTTTATGTTTTTTCCGTCAACATTTTGTCAGCGCAATCACTGGGGAGAGATCAAAAGTCATTTTGTACACTCCATTAAATCAAATGATCTCCAATCAAAAATCATCACAATAAAATGAAATTGAATCAGTGTTGGTGACACTGGTGGCAAATCCAAATAAACAATACAATTAAGCAAAAACAACAAATATGCAAAACCGAAAGCAAATAAATTTTGTGGTGCGTATAAATAAATTGGCGACTTAGCTAAGCGGATTAAGGCTGTAGTTAGAGTAGCAATGTTGGTGTTTATTGTTTTTGTAATTTAAATTGTTGTGCAATTCTTTTTTTTCTTTGTGCGCTAATTCTACTTTTATTGTTCTACACACAAAGGGTGACAGGCTAGAAGGAGGGAGTGTAATTAATAGTATCAGCGTTGTGGCGTGTGTGTTTGCATTTATGTGTAGTGATGTTAGTGGTATTAGTGGTGATTTCGTAATGTTGGTGTGGTGGTGGCAAAGCAATGGTGTTGGATCGCATTGTTGGAGGCGGCAATCAGCATAAAGTCAATTTCGCCATTTTAATTTGTCGCTAATGGTGTTGGCAGTGCACGTAAATTTGTCAATGCTAGCATACTAACATTGTATATAGTGACGTACAAACATACACAACTAAGTTTGTTTAATTGCTCGCAATCACTAATTTTCGCCAAACCAATTTTCGTTTCAATTTCATGGCTGTCATGTCGTGTCATTGCAATATTAACACACATACATACACATATGTGCGGTTTCAACCGACACGGAACTGCCACAACTATGAATGAAACCAATTCAATTGTATATACGTGTATGTGTATGTCTCTATTTCTGCGCTGCATTACATTGAATTTTGCAATCAACTTTTACGCTTGAACGCGCGCTTTCACGCATTCAATTTGGATAGAAGCACGCGCCGAAATATCAGGACCGCCAATACGATATCTAACACCGGGCTCTACACTACGCCTGCAATGTCGTGTCGTGCAGAATACGGAAGCGTCGGAATTCATATTCTGGTATCATGATAATCGGATGATCAACTACGACAGTGATCGGGGTATCAACGTCTCGACGGATCCAGGTGAGTGTGAGAGAAAAGAAATTCACTAGAAGCATGATTTTCAATTGTCTTATTTTTTTTTAATAATTTTTAAGTAATTAATATAAGTAATATTTCGAAAAAAACGGCACTTATACAAATTCGATATATAAACATATTCGAGAGTGTAGAACCTCATAACAAATAAAAACATAAACAAGCAGATTTATAGGTTATATGTATTTTTGACTAAAAAATTATAATTTTAACGATATATTCCGAAGATAATATTATCTAAAAAATACTATCAATTTTGTATAAATATATTTATATTTTATATTTTAAAACATGCTATTAACTAAATATTAAAATTAAATAAGCAACTATTTACCAATTAAGCCTGACAACTAATTGTTTACACTTCATAGATTTCCAATCATCGGAGTTAACAATTCAGCGCACGCGACGTGAACATTCCGGTAATTTTACCTGCGTCGCCAGTAATACACAACCTGCAAGTGTGTTGGTGCACATTTTCAAAGGTAATAATTTTGTTAATATGAATTTAAACATTTAATAAATTATTATAATATTAAAATGGTTGACTAAAAAAAGTATTCCACCATTTTTCATATATATCTCATCGCTAATTCTTTTCACACAAAAGAGTATAATTTACTTAATAACATATTTTTCCAAGAGAATCATGAGCTCTGAAAAATGGTACGACCAATTCAAAAACATATTTATCAATTCAACTTTGTCATCACACCTTGTCCTTGCCAATAAAGAGAAGTGGAAATAATCAACAAGTTGCCACTAAATAGTTCGACTTGTGTTGCCAATAAATTAAATTGGGCTTCAACACCTGTCATTGCAGCATTGACTGTTCGAAATACCTATACAAACAAGTGTCTGTTCTTTGGTCAAGAAATGTCTGAAGGGAATTAGAAATACATACATATGTGAATACTGTCTGATAAAGACAGGACGCACGTAATGTCAGGTCAGAGTAAAAATACATATATATATTTAAACTTATTATTGGCACGTGTTTCTCATTCCGAAAATTTCGTATGTATAAACCAACACTTCAGATATATTTCAGAATTTAAATGCATATAAATTTAAATTCCTTAAAATGAAAAAATAAATAATAAATTGAAAAATACTCTAAACTACAATACATATAATTTAAAAAAAAAAAAAGATAAAGTGAAATGAAATAAAAAAAATAAAAAACAAAAGAAGAAAAGAAAATTCAGAAATAAAAGAAAAAAATAAAAAAAATACGAGAGAAGAAAGATAAGAAAAAAATAGCATAGTAGAGAAAAAAAAGTAAAAAAAATGAAATAACACAAAAAAAAAATAATTTAGATGTAATAAAAAAGGAAATTACACCAAATGAAATAAAGTAAAATAAAATTAAATTGAGTTAAAATAAATTAGATTAAATTATATAAAATTAAAAAAAAAACATAAAGCTGATTAAAATAAAATAAAAGAAATTTTTTGAAATAAATTATTAAAAAATATATATATATTAAATTAAAATAAATAAAAATAAAAAAAAACCATAAAATTGATTAAAATAAAATAAAAGAAATTCTTTGAAATAAATTTAAAAAAAACCATAAAATTGATTAAAATAAAATAAAAAGAGAAAGATAAAAAAGGATAAGAAAAGGGAATAAAAAAACGAAATAAAAATAGAAAATAAAATGAAAGAGAATACATTAGAATAAAAACTTTAGGAGAACAAAGTTAAAATTAAAGATAAAGAAAAAATTATAAAAGAAAAATATAGCAAAGTAAGGAAAAAAATGTCAAGAAAATTAAATAAAATATAAGAAAAACAAATAAATTGTAAATTGTAAATAAATTACACCAAATGAAATTAAATAAAATTAAATTAAATAAAATTAAAAAAACCATGACATTGATTCAAATAAAATAAATAAGCTAAAAAAATTTAATAATAAAATAAATAAAATGAAATAATAAATTAACTCAAATTAAATAAAATTAAACAAATAAAATTAAACAAATTAAAACAAAACGAAATGTGATGAAATCATTACAAGCGACACTGTGCTTTCAATCGCGTTATATGCATTGGTATTAAGGTACTACTTTAAGTTCCTGCTCTTTTATACAAAAATATATGTTCCAACGCCTGCCACTTCATGCACGTCCAACCAACAAGAACAATCAAAGATGGCAAACATATAAACAACACTGGCCAGACAACTAATTTGCAAGCGAGCACAACAACAATAGGAACGTTGCTTTGTTCGTAATATATTGCGGTAGGATGCGCACTAATGAACTCCCCATATAAATTCCCTACCGTAGGGCAAAGCTGGACATCCGCTTACAGTCATATGTGTATATGCGTGTACTGCAGTGACTTGTTGGGAAAGAGGATAACAAGAGCGGCATATAGAACGACCGACTGACTGAGAGGATTCAAAGCGTAAGACAAAATAAAGCTGCAAAAGTAGGGAAGAAGGAGTTGCGTTGCTCCAGGCGCGCAATACGCTTTGCTGGCTTAATAGTTAGCTAGATGGCAGGCTGGTTTATTAGACATGTTAGACTAGAAGCTAGCGAATTTCATACAGTGCGAATTTAATGGATGCTCTATTATTTAGCAGCACTTACAAGATGTGCTCATGAAACAAACAATTGCTTGCAACTAAGATTGGATAGACCAACTTCATTTCAAAATATAATTGATTTGAGTAATCGTAAGCTTGTGGGATAATGGTCCTATTTGGCATAGGCATCTCGACTGCGACATGCAACTTGGTTAAATTGAGTATATTGAAAATTTTCACACATTAATTGAAATTGTGCTGCCTACCTTTAGGCTGACATACATTAAAATGGCATATTCCTATTTTTCTAAAACCTTTTGAAGCAATTCGGAATGAAACGAGGTTAAGTTCTTTTTTTAATGCCTTTATTACGTGCTTGAGTCTAAACCAGGCAGATGACGCTTGGCATTGGAGATTTCTGAGGATAAAGAACGTTTCGTATTGTACAAGAACTGTAATAATCATTAGGAGACAACCTGACAACCTTTAAAATTTATTGAATTGTAGGAAAAAAAATACACTAAATGCATCTCAAGTAAAAAAGTTAAAATTGAGTTAAATCCAAAAAATGTTGCCTACATTTAGGCTTATTTTTTTTATCATATCATATCATATTATCAAAGACACACAAACAAATATTTTTATATGTTTTTATTTTTATTCTTATTTTTAAACATTTTCACTTTTTCAGAGTGTAACGCATAAAAGTTTTGTGTGTAAATTTCATTACTTTACAAAAATATTTTGAATTAATCTGAAGAAATAAACGTTTTTGTTGAGTTGTTATAGACTTGACGAAAAACTGCCGTAATGACACATTTTACGCCTCAGCACTCATAAAACCCCATACATATTTGAGGTTAGGTAAGAGTTAATTTTAGTTTGTCAATGCGCGGAAGTGAATTTGTTATAAAAAGTCAACTCGTAAATTCGGTACGATTTAATGTGTTACCACATTAAAATAAATTAAACGCACACACACACATATGTATGTATAGATTTTATAAGCTCGTCATTTTATTTCGCACATACATATATGCACGTATATACATAAATGTGCAAACATAAAACGTTCAACATAAATGTAATGCTAAAATGTTAAATGTTGCGCAATGTTTGTAATACGAGTATAAATATATTTGTACGCTATGTGTTTGTTTCATGTTGGAAACAGTCAACATGCGTGGAAAAGGCTTGAATTCCTGCGTTTGTGTATTTCGTTTTTAAGAGAATTGAATATTTACTTTAACATCATTTTTTTTTTGCTGTCGTTTGTAAATACTTTTATTTTAATGCCTGTAGCTGTGTCATGATGGCCCGCTTGCGGTTATGGATATTTGCTACACAACAATTGCTTGCCACACGCACGTACGCAATTGCGAACGAAAATTCTTTGGGCGCGTAATAAAAGTTATTTATGAAAATTGCAAAACCATGAGCTGCTTCCACTACTATTACCACTACTACAACAGCGTTACACCCAATGCCACGTGACGAAAATTCCTAAGCCTACGCATACAACGGGGAATGTATTTGCACACATGACGCTATGGCAAAGCACAGTTAAGTGAAAAACTTGTCGCTTATGTATGTGTAATACAAGTTACGTTGTAACAAATTGACAAATTAAATGAACTTATGATTTCACACCATAATAAATGCTAACGCCAGGTCTACCTGATTTCCGCTCAAACCATCATTTCACAACAACAACACCACGACGATTATTTTACAATGCTCAGCATTTCCGCCACGTGTATTGCAAGCGGGCTGAATTCCTGGAATCTTCTAAACCAGAGCAGAGCCATAAGTTAGCACATAAGCTATAAATTAGCAAATTTTAGATTGTTTAAGTAATTCTTGTTTTGACTTCGTTAATAAAAGGTCGTAAGACCAGAAATAAAAAATATTTTTTTTATTTAATACGAATACAGAATTCGTTAACT